AGCCTGGCGAGAAAACTCGCCAGCTCCGTCCTCGGCAACATTCGCAAGCACTCCTAAGTCGAAAACTTCCTCGTCGTCGAATTGGCTCCCTGGGACACGGGGCATCCGAGTGCCCACTGAGCAGGAGTGATTCCGCCGACTCTTGACATCTCATTATTCGTGTTGTCGCCTTCTGATGCAGTAGAGACGGCTTTCATCGAGTCCGGAAACATTGTCGCGTGGCACCCTCTTGACGATGTCCTTCCAAAAAACCACCATGTCTCTCGGCGCGGCCTGTCTGCTCGGGAGACTCGACTGCGGCGCCGCGATGGTCGATCCCCTGACTCTTATACCACTGCAGAAACACTCCTCTGTTGTGCAGTCGCAATCTGGCACCATTCGTTTGGGCATACCTGCCCGTGCACACCAGCGTTGTTGGAGCGCAGCGAGGCACGCTCTCGAAGCTGGCGCACCACCTTGCTGTTTGACAATGATTACACGTTGAAATGTTGCACCCTGGCACACTGCGCTCAAGAACGCGTAACGTTCTCCACTCTTATCCACTACCTCCAGACAGTCGGTACCCATCTCTTGATTGAAGCAGCATTTATTTGGCAAGGCAACCTTATGCCTCTCAGCTAAGAGCTTATGATGTTCGCAAGACTCACACCGATAATTCTTGGCAGCTTCAATGTAGTCCGACGACATTCTCGAGATTCTCGATGGCTGCACGCGATCACGATTAGGTACATGACCACATTGTCTGTGTAGTCATCTAATATCGACCCCTGTGCGGAGCGGGATTTGCAACCGCTCTGTCGTTTTCTCTCCTTCGTGTTCTGGCTCGCCAGGTAAGTTGATTTCTAGGATATCTTATTATTCCTCTCGCAAGCGTTCCGTAGAGACAGTAGCGACGTCGTCCTCACCGATGATCGCGCCCATATCGTCTCTAGCTCTCTCCTCTGCGGCTGCAGCGGGGAAAGCTGACAGTGCTGGCCTATGTAGTCTAACCTTCTGGCCTAACTCTCTGAGGAAATCAAAGTAGTCCTGACTCGCGATGTCTGCGTCTGGCTCGAGGCACGAGTTCAGCGCACTGGCAACCTCAAGGCTTGAGCAACCAAGCTTATAGACTAGCGCAACAGTTACAGGACCATGATTCGTAGCCAAAAAAGAAAAACCATCACTGGTAACATGATGACTTGATGATGATGTGTAGGCGACAGCAAGATCAGGAGTGCGCTCGACGATGTCTTTTGCCATCGATGGCCCCCAATCTGGGCGCACCAGCGGGTCGCTTGAGACTGGGCAGGCGAACGCGACGCCGATGATGCAGAGCACCACCCCGGCCAGGTTGGCCCCCGCTCGTCCGCGAAGCAGATGGGTGTTCCTGATCACCTTCTCGGCGATCTCCTTGTCGGTAGCAGTCATGCCCGGCGCAGACAGCGCGGCAACACACGCAGACAATAACTCATCTCGCATACTGATGCTACGCAATCCAGAGCAATATGTGGCAGGATTCTTAGCACTCATAGTAGCCATCTCATGCTGATCCAGCTGCAGCGGCGCGCACAAATACGATGTTCCGTCAACGCGGATCCTCGGAGGCTGCACAAGCATTGCTACTTGATCGTACTCCTCAGCATCAACAGAAGAATTCATGGCAACGCGATCTTCTATACGCCTCCAGGACTGGGCGCCCTTGGTGCGACCCATAGAACTCTTCTTCCAGGAAGACCATGTCGGCGGGAACTTGATCTGAGCGTTGGATGGATCAATATTGCAGTTCACACGCACTAACTTCTCAGTACCCCGCTCGTCTGCGCGGCCAGTCGATCCCCCTGATGGGAACGATCGAGGATCAACGTGCGTGATGAAGTCCCTCTTATTGCCCTGGTTGTTGGCCTGCTCGAAGAGCGAATCCAGCTTCTCTGCGCAAACTGCAATCGGCTGGAAGTCCACGACTGGATCTCCGGCCCGATCACCACCCTCCGTGGACAGGTCCCTCTCTACAGGAGAAGTCGGGGATGCTGAACGAGACGCACGAGTCTTGTTCGACACGTCGTCGCTGCTGACGGCAACAGTACTCGCCGGGAGCGGCGGCGGCGGCGGCAGCGGCCCCACCCAGCGCGGCGGCCCCGGTGGCTACGAAGCACAGAAAGAGCTGAAATGTCTGTCGAAATGTCCTGCGCTGGGGCCATAAAACCGACAAGACTGTGATCTGTGACCTCTGTGACACAGTCATGAAGCAACAGGTTAGTTCACCTGTACTAATGTCACCTGTGTCTTTACACATCTCAACAGCACGTTTGTCGCAGGCCTTTAGTACACCCATTAACTCTACAGGGGTGATACATGTTGCTGGAACGCTCAACTTTCCTTGCCGCTGCTTTCTTGCATTCTGCCAGCTTCCTGGGCCTTTCGTCAATAGATGTCAGACAACGACAACAATACGCACGAACAATATCTGGAGTGCTGCCACGATTACCTACAAGATCGCGCGGACGCTCGCCCGGGGAGCACAGTGCCACGCACCTCTTCTGCTAGGTCTTGCGACCGCAATCGTTGCAGGTGCGAACAATGAAACGAGCACTAGACCAACCCCCGAGAGATTCTTACACCCTCGAGCACATGGGCGAGGCAAAAGGGGATCTGGAGGTTTCCTGCTCAAGCCGGAAGAAAGAACTCGAAGATGGCATAACTTTGTCATTGGAAACTCTCGGCCCCGACACTTTCACAGATTGTCCGCCTTCCTTGCGAGCAAAGTTGCCATCGACCCATCCTAAGAACAGAACCAGATCCTCGCTTGGTCTCTACACTTTGCGACCCTAATCTACGCGGTCTGGGGCGCCCCCGAGAACGCGGCCATAACTGAACCCTCTGCGCTGAAGCGAAGGAAAAAACAATATCCTGACCAGGAACAGAGATAGGATCCGATACAGATTCCCCCCCTCAAACTCCCCATCAAAAACACGAGCCATAAAATAAGATTCGGTCGAGCGAACAGCCATGAGCCCTCGTGCCCCCCCCCCCCCCCCCAGCCTCTGTAGAGGTCTGAGGACTCCTCTCCTGGAGCCCCGGAGGCCCCTGAACCGGAGCGGCTTCGGACACCCCCGTGCAACTCTCGCAGACACGATGCTCAGCGCAGTTGCGCTGCAAGCTACACTGCCCGTCGCACATCCCCCACGCACACACGCACACGCACGCATGCCCTGCGACGCATGATGCGAGAAGAGAAAGAAGAGCAGAAACAAGAAACTCCAGAACCCATTCTCGTCGACTCCTCCTCGCTGCTAATGGTATGATGAGGGTGATGGCGATGCGGCAACAGAACTGACAGGCGTGAACTTTTGTTCGTCGTCGTCCCCGCGTAACTAGACATGGCGCTCGCCAGTGTCTCCAGTGTGCGCTACCATTGCCGTCCCGGGTTTGCCCTTGCACTCAGGGTCCCTGGACAAGTGGCCTGTGTCGCGGCAGGTCTTGCATGTCGAGCGTTTCTTGATCTCCTGGAACCGCTTCTTGCGACCTTCCAGGGAAGGTCCTCCCTTGCTGCCCCCCCTGGGCGACCAGGGCGTGCAGCGGTAACTCATGCCTCCGCTCTTTCCTTTGCCTTTGCTCCTCCCCCTGGTGCCGACGTCGGCTACCAGGTCCTCTTGGATCGCGTCAGAGACTTCTTCCCCTGCATATTCAGCCTGGACCATCTCGTCGAGCTCGCTGCTGTCCTGGACAGGGGCCCAGTGAGCATGCGATTCTTCGTCAACGTAGGCGCGTTCGTCGGCGTGGTCGCCCCAGGCCGCGCCGCCCCGGCCGTGCTCGGGCGCGTAGCCGGACGCGTAATATCCGTAGGGAATCAGCTCCTCAGGGCAATGCTCCTCCTGCTCGAACCGTCCTTCCTCAGCAGTGTAGAGAGCGCGTTGCGGCCTGGAGAAGCGCACTTCGCCCTTGCCCTTGCTCCTTTTCTGGTAGCTGGGTCTGGGCTGCGTACACGTCGAAGAGCTGGAGCCTGTTACCAGACTCGCCCTTGCCTGTTTAGCGGATGTGTGCACGGCCGCGCTGGAGGATCAAGACATCCTTGGTATTGTCGGAAGTTGTCACATTTCCTGTGGATGTCAACACCATCATGTTCTCCGAAGGCGAGAGGCCTGCGCGGTCCAAGAGAAGGGACCCAAGCACATCGTCACTCATCAAGATCTCAAGATCTAACTTGGAAACAAGCTTCCACCAACGCTTCCTTCAGGAGATGTACGAGACCATAGACTTACCGCGCTGTCCTGACAATTGTCCATATGGTCTCTGCCCCACCTGGAACAGGACCTTCCCTTCCTGTGCCTCTATGGGGAAGGAGTGAAGTGCGAATCGCCAGCACCAGCTGATCGATCCCATTCTGAATCAGAAGCACGCCCTTACCGATATCCATGGCAAAATCGAACGCGTCACCTCTGAGGCCTTCTACAACCTTGTTGACAGCTGCGGTGACCACGTGTTGCTGTGGCGCACCCGTCTCTTGATCCACTCTGGCCAAGGCGGCGTTCATGCGCACCTCGGTGCGGAAGTCCAACTCGTGGAAGGTTTTCACCGCGCCGTCGTAGATGTAGGAGCCACTCTTCGTCTCGGACCGCGTCAGCGCGTCGGCGGCTGGCCGATAGCGAAAAGAAGAAAGTGCCACGGCGCAAGGCCCAGTCCCCTAGCGAGGGAAACTGCCAGTACGGGAAATGCAGAGACGCTGTGCTACACTTTCTGACGAGACGTGCGCGCAGTGGTACGATACGGGGATCGTGTGGTAGCTCCGCGACCTGTGTGATTATGATGTGTTTTGGCGCAATGGCAGAAAGGGACCCTAGAGATCAAACGGCGGCGAGTGGCAGCGAGTGGTGCGTATACACACGTCACGTATGCACTATCTCACAAGAGTGGACACCCGAGGACGGGATCAACAGCAAAAAGTTCTTCAGAAATGAAAAATTAACAAACGAACAAAACAAACACGTGAACGGGTCGGGAGGGCGGGCGCGCCCACCACCGTCCTGGCGAGGCAAAGCACCACCGAGGCCAGCAGCTGGGTGACGCAGAGGTGCATCCCGTGCCCAAGAGCCGCGAGTGACGAGAACCAACTCACCTCGGGGACAGAGGACGAGAACGAGGACGACGAAAACGAGGACGAGGACGAGGACGAGGACGAAGACGACGGCTTCCCTCGAGGGCGGCGAGGGACGAGAACCAGATCACCTCAGGGGCAGGAATTCCGGACTGCGAACGAGCAAACGAGCTGGCTGACAGGGATCGTGGTTTCTTCGTCATCGTCACCGTCAGCATCGTCGTCACTGGCGTGACCGTCGTCTCATCGTCGTCGTCGTATTCGTAGTCGTCGTCGTCGCCTTTGATGGCGGCCCGAATATGGGCGACAAGCGTGCAAGAACATGGCACGAGAGGAGGGGTCCGCACCGCAGGGAGACGTTGCCGCGCCTGCTGATGATCTGGAGTCCTGCCCCAGACCACTGGGAAACGGAGGGTGTGGACGCTTTCCTCCCCTCGAGGAACGAGCAGGCACCTGTACCTGAGGAAGCAAGTTCTGGAAGATCTTCGCCAGAAGAACGAAGGGCTACTAAGCCCGATCACGGGGGAGAATTGCGCCAAATCAGCCACGTTAGGCCAAAGAGTAAGCCGCGCGATAAAGTCGGGTTGAGCCCGATCAGGCGATATGAAACGGGATCAGGCCAGACTCTGCAGGTTTTCGAACACGGATACATTAGGGCAGATGCTGAATGAAACCTCCCAGGAGAGTTGCATCCAACAAAAAAAAATATTCGTTCCACCCTCAGGGGGCGGGCAAGTATCCCTGGGCACGACTCCCAAGGCGCTGGACACGCGAGGGGCAACGATAAGGGGGGGACTGGCCCAGGGGAGGAACCCAGGATCGACGACACAACGCCGGTAGGTTGGCGACAGGCCCCCGATAGCGAAACCGCACGGCTCTGGGCGGGGTGGGGCTGACAGGCCCCTATCGGCGATCCACGAGCGATTGGGGGTCGATGCCCCCCGCCCCCATGAGCTAAATTATTCCACCAGACGTGCCCTTGAATATGGTCACGCTCTGCCTCACAGGGCCAGCACCGTCGGGGGTGGGCTGCGGAGGCCCCGTGGGTGGCTTCTAGCCTGGATCGGGAGCGGGATCGGGGTCGGGAGCCAGCGGTGGCGAGCTTCTGGGGGGGCCCGCACAACTCCTGCACGGGATCGCGATCCCGTCCAGGCTGGCGGCCAGGAAAAGCATCCGGGATCCGCAACCCCAGTCCGCCGCCCTCGTAATTAACCCTCAAGGTGGAACTGGGGGGCCAAGGTGTCCATTCTTTGCGCGCACCGAAGGCGGGAAAACGCGCTCACGCCCCACCGCCAGTGCGGCCACTTTGACCCAGCCCCCCTGCAGGACGTGGGACTTGGGGGCTGAGGCAAGGCTTGTTGGATTTGATTGTGAAAGAAATCGGGGGGGCATTGGCCACTTCGGGGAGGCCACGGTGAGCGAAAGGCCGTGCGCAACCCACCAGAAGCAGCACCTAAAAACAAATCAATCCGCTCTCCTCGCTCACTCCTCGTCGTCCTCCCTCCTCCTCCCTCCTCCCTCGATCCATTCAGCACCCGTCCCTAGCTCAAGGTTTCGCGCAGCACCTGGGGTGCTGCTTTCTCCCCCAGTCGGAAGAAGACCGCAATTTTACCAGGGCCGGGCCGGGCGACTAGACGACCAAACGACCGGACGCTTGGGCGACCGGACGACTGGACGACCGGACAGGCGACCAGGCAACCAGACGGACGACTGGACGACCGGGCGACCAGACTACCCGACGACCGAGCGACCACACGACCGGGCGACTGGGCGATCAGACGACCAAACGACCGGACGACCAAACGACCGGACGATCAGGGGGCCAGGGCTACCCAGGACTGGGCGACCGGGCGACTGGGCGACTGGAGCACCGACCATCAACATCTTGATTATCTTGCGGTATCTTCGTTATCTTGTCGTATGTGTTTAACTTAAGGTTGCTTTTTGACGATTAACCTTAGAATCAAACGGAATCCTTCAAATTCCACCCGTAAGACACGTGAATCCTTCAAAAAGATAACGGAAACCGTAAGAGAAAAGGTTTTCCTGTAAAATGCCAGGTGGGATCCAAACTACAGGTCCGAGCGGATCTTGGCGATCTTGAAGATATCATTGGGTATCGTGGGTATATTGGGGTATATACGGGTATATTGGGTCCAACAACACTTGATACAACAAGAACAACAAGTACAACAAGTACAACAAGTACAACAAGTACCGCAAGTACCGCAACCACAACAACATAGTGGGCCCAACACAACAACAACAGTAACAACAGTAATAACAACAACAACAACAACAACAATCACTTTACCCGAACGCTCAGTGTTCTCACCAGTGCCAGGGTTTTCATGCGACGCCAGCCAATACCCCCACTTTGTGGGGGGGCAGTGCAAGCTCTACCAAATATCCACACGACTCTTCGCCACCACCCACACCCAGCTTCCCGCCCTATGACGTTCGGACACTTCACTTCGTGGCCTGCGGACGACCGTGGCTACTACACTGGCGTGGAGTACACACCCACAGAAGTTGTTAAGCCTACGTTCGTACACCCACAGAAGTTGTTAAGCCTTGTTAACCCACAGAAGTTGTTAAGCCTTCCACAGAACATCTGTTGCATATGATGCATATGGTACATGATACACATGATGGACGTTTTATTCTCGGCGGCCGAGGGCGCAACCTATGGCGCAACCGCAAGGGATTGTGGCCCCTGGCAGGCGCGCGAACCCCGTTGCAAGAGCGTGCGAAAGTAGCTCGCGCGAGCTCATGTAACATAAATGTTGGAAAACCATTGGTTTTTTTAGGATTCGGACAGCGCGCGCGGGTAGAAATTTTGAAAAGTCGTGCAGGTGTTTTTCGAGGACCTACGGTGCGATTCGTGTGATTTTATGATGCGCGGTGCTAAAATTCTTAAGAAGCCCAATGGTTTTTGGAGATTTCGGCGTGCGCGCGCGAAGAAAAAACGAATGTGTCCCGCATGGTATTATTTGACAGGGATGATGGCCCTGGCAGGTGCGCAACCGTTGTCGCAGAAGTTCGAAAAAGTTGCTCGCAAAAGCCCGTTTGACAGAAATGTTTAAAAAGTGTTGGGTTTCCTACGAATCCGCAAGAGCGCGCGGGATGAGATTTTGACATTTTTTTGTTGAAAAACCATTGGTTTTTTGATGTTTTTATGTTAAAATCGCTCCGAACACTAAGCTTTTGGAAGGATTTCGTCTTGCGCGCGCGAATGTCCACTTTACCTTATTTTTTGCAAGGGATTCTTGAAATTTGATTATATTAGAACAAGAAATGTCATTTTATAGTGTTTTTTGCAAGGGAAAACGGATTACAACAAAACAACCGGATCTGGATCACATCGTTTTACCTGAGGCTTCCTCACGAAAATGATGAAAATGTAGCTGCGGCCTAGGCGGCGCAGGGGGGGCGTGCACCAGGGGGCCCAACAATAATTATTCTTTAGAATAAATAATGTTCAACAACAACAACACAACACAACACGTATAACAGCATGACAGGGCCCAGAGCCACCAGAGACCCCCATGCAGAGCTCCAACAGTCGACAGCAGCTTTCCAGGCTCGAACGTCTTCGCTCACGTGACCTCGAGGCTTCACTGACGTCGAGACTTTATCGGCCCGAGGCTTCATCGGCCTCGCGCTTCATCGGCCTCGCGCTTCATCGGCCTCTCGCCTCGCGCCCAACTGCAGAGCGAATGGCGACGCAGAGCTATTTCCGCGGCAAAGACGGCTCCATCGTCGACGACGTCGACCGCGTGATGAGGAGGGCGGAGGTCAACCTTCAGAGCACGTCCTTCGTATTGAAGGACGTTGGCGCTGGCATCTCTCGCGAAATTGCCACACTGCAGGACCACAAGCGCATGCTCCAGCTCAGCGCGGTGCGCACGCAGCAGGGCAAGGCGGAAAACTTCGGGCACAAGATGGCCAAGGCGGAGTACAAGTATCAGCTTAAGGATCAGATCGACTCGCTGGAGAAGATGACAAGGAAGCTCAGCAAGCAGCATGGCATCATCAACGAAAGTGCGCCACTGGATCTCCCTGAATACACTGAAAGGGGGGGGTCCAGACCCCCCCCCCTTCCCCCCTTGAAGGGGGGGGAAGGGTCCGGACCGCACCCCCTTCCCCCCCTGAAGGAGGGGGGGGGTTCCCGAACCCCCCCCCCCTCCCTTGAAGGGAAGGGGGGGGGTCCGGACCCCCGCCCCCCTCCCCCCCTTGGCGCTGGAAAGGGGGGGGGGGGTTCGGACCCCCCCCCCTCCCCCCCTTTGCGCCGGAAAGGGAGCCGGGGGGGGGGGCCTCTCTCGCTTCTCCTTTCTGCGCCAAGGGAGTACGGAGTTGGGAGTAGGGAGTGGTGAGCAGTGAGTTAGTGCGAAGTGAGTAGTGAGTACTGGGTAGTGCGTAGTGGGTAGTGGGTGGCGAGTAGGGAATAGGGAGTAGGGAGTGGGGAGTAGTGAGTAGTGAATAGTGAGTAGTGTACTGATAAGTGAGTAGTGAGTGGCGAGTAGTGAGTAGTGAGTAGTGAGTAGCGAGTAGTGAGTAGTGAGTACTGAGTAGGGAGTAGGGAGTAATGAGTAGCGGGTAGTGAGTAGTGGGTAGTGAATAGTTGGTGGCGAATAATGCTTAGTGAGTAGTGAGTAGTGGGTAGTGCGTAGTGCGTAGTGAGTAGCGAATAGTGAGAAGTGAGTAATGAGTAGTGAGTAGTGAGTAGTGAGTAGTGAGTAGTGAGTAGCGAGTAGTGCGTAGTGAACGGTGAGTAGTGAGTACTGAGTACTGAGTAGTACGTAGTGCGTAGTGAGTAGTGAGTAGTGATGGATAGAGAGTAGTGGGTAGTGGCAGTGGGTGGTGTGTAGTGAGTAGCGAGTAGGGGGTAGCGAGTAGTACGTAGTGAGGAGCGAGTAGGGCGTAGTGAGTAGTGAGTAGTGGTCAGAGAGTAGTCAGTAGTGAGTATTGGGTAATGATTAGGGAGTAACGACTACGGAATAGCGAGTAGTGAGTAGTGA